CTCTCTGCTGGGGGCACCACAGCTTCTGGAACAACAGCTACAAAACCAACACTGATGCTCTTTTGCTTTTTACATTTTGCTGTGTAAGCAAAAATCCTTTGGTGGTTTTATGTTAGGTTCTAGTACAGGTCTTTCACCAAAGCAAAGTTGTATAATGGGAACTTGTGAAAAGTGAGGGGTGCACTGCTCTGCATGCCTAGGGAAGGGCCCAGAGCAATCTGAGGAGGGGCAGAGAGCCTTGACAGCTGGAGAGGACAAGTCATCTGACACTCATGGACATGAAGATCCGAGAGCTCCTGGACTTGCCATGGGTCACTTGCCAGCCTCCCTCTGTCCTGTGCTGTCTGCCAAAAGGCAGTGGGCGGGGGGTACGGGATGATCTCACTGAAGTCTGAACAGAGTCATTTGACTATGTGCTGAAAGTGACTAGAAAAGGAGAAACAGGAGAGAGTAGAAATGGAGTTCAGGAGGCCTGTTGTGTAGTCCAGAAAAAAGTGGCTTGGAACAGGAGGATAAGGCATCGTGAAGTGTTCATATCTATGCTAGACATGATCGAAGGAAAAACAGAGAAGACTGGTTTTGGTACACAATTTAAGAACTGTGTAAAAAGGAAGGAGCCAAGCATAACTAGAAAGACCTGGCCTGAAAAAGATTATATCCCAGGGGGGTCAGGTTAACATTGTCAGTTAAGCATAGTCGACTGAGCAGTTTCCTCTCCGGAAATCTCCAAAGATGAAATAAGGAGAGTGATGAGGAGATGGCAGCCAAAGGCAGGACAACAAGCAAAACATTTGCCATGGAGAGGTCCACAGCATGCTCACTGATTCAGTTGACCAAACTCTGGAAAGAGAAGTATAGAACTGAAGGTTCCAGAAGTTTCTGAAGTCGAGTTGCTGGAGGAACAGCCACCAAGCTGCTGCCTCTGGCCCTAGTTGTCTTGCTCTAGGGCTTCTGGCCCTATTCACACCTGTAAAGCCCTTGGGCTGCATGGGGCTGGCTCAGCCTACTGCCCATCACCTGCATGGGCATCTGTGAGGCAGATAACTCTAGCCTGGGTGTGCCATTTCTGCAGCACCCCCAGGCATGCATGACTTGCTGAGGGTGCTCTACAGCCCTATGCATCAGCCAGTTGCATGGACAAGCTGGGGGGGCAGGTGGCCAGCAACAGCTGCTGGCTTCCTCTTCAGAGCAGTATTTTGAGATATCTTGGCTGGTGTGGCAGTTGAACTCTACGAAACTGGGCTCGCTGTGCTCATGGCCATCTGCATCAAGTCCAGTGGCCCCTGTGGCCACATGCCACATGGAGTGAGTCTATACAGGGCAGATGCAGTGAGTGGGCTCACCACTTTCCTAGATATCCTGGCCTATAAGTGGGTTTAAAAGAGCTGCTCTGGGCTCATGTCATGCCTGTGCCTTAAGAAAGCCAGTGAAGTATTTTTAAATTTAAGTACTCACTAACTAAAGAAATCTATGGAGCACCCATATGCACATGGCAGAACCAGGAACATGTCTGGGACTAACAGCTGGAAGGTAGAAAGTGGAGCTTTCTAGACTCAAAAGCCCAGGGCTTCCTGAACAGGGACTTCTTGGAGCAATGGGAGGGGCAGAATGGCCAGAAGACTTTAAAGGGCCCAAACACAGGAGGTGGTCTCTTGGTGGCCAGGATCAGCTTGCCCTCTGATCCTGGCCCACACTTCTGATCTCTGGACTGGTCCCTTTCTTCCATGCAGTTGGTTCCAGCTTGCCATGCTGAATAACCCAGCTGCCATGGGCTCCTGCTTGGATTCTGAAGTCTGTACCACAGTCACTATCTATAGTAGGACAGACAGCATCCAAACATGTTGATTCACATGTTCATTCATTCACTCATTGTCACTTCTCTTTCCCTTTCCCCTCCCTTTCTCATTCCTTGTGTAAATCCCATTACTGTTGTTTCTCTCCATGTCCCTACTTTCGAGTCACGTTCTACCATGGGTGAGGACCCACCAGACAGGTGATGGGCTCCCCCCAAGACTTATTCTTTTTCAAAGTCCTCCCCCAACTATAAGTTTCTCCCATTTGCATTTTGAGGGAAGCCTGTGTTTTTCTTTTGGAATTAAACCAAAGAGAACTTGGGCTAGACATGAGGGGATGGCATGCTGCAGTGACCATATTGGGTGTATACAGCAGCTCAACAAGGCCCACTGCCCAGGTGTTTGGTCAAGATTATGAAGGTGTTTTATGGATTTTTCCAGAATACAAGGGCACTAATTTATAGATAAAAGGTAAACTGGATAGCCAGAAACAATATTTACCAAAGAGCAAACCTTGATGAAAGCCTCTGAATTGAAAGATATGTAAGTACTAGAAGCCTCTAGAATATAAAAGAGAAAAAGAAAAATCAGATTGGCAATACTGGAAGATAACAGTGAAATAACTTAAAGATCATCTTAGACATACAACATTCTAAAAAGCAACTTATCACTACTCTAACTCCTTTTCTGATGTTCCTGGAGGATGGCTTCTCCCAATTACAAAACTAAAAAAATGCAAGAAAAAAGAAGAACACAAAGATTGGGAAGCCAGGACACCTAATTCAGAGACACCTGAAGGAAGCCTTAGAACACATGCCGAAGAAATGACTAGGATCTTGCTGTGCAAAATATGTAGGAACGGGTAGGTGCAAACTAGTAGGGGAAGGTCAGGGATTTGGATCCTTCTTGTGGGTTGATAGATTTAGTGGAGAAAAAAATCACAAATATAACACACACACAACCCTTTCCTATTGGTTCTGTTTCTTTGAAAAACCCTCTCTAGGACAGATGCTCTTGTTAACTGATTATTTCTCACCACCTTAAAGACACTGTGTGTGAAATATAAGGATTTATGTTAGAATCAAGGATATGCACAGTTATTTTATTTATTAAAATAATTCCTACTCTTAAGATACTGAGACTAACAAGGGCAATTACACAAGTGCTCCTATAAACAAAATGCAAGAATACTATAAGCATGATCATTATTTTCATTAATAATGATGATCTCCATCCTATAATCTCCTTTAATGAGGGCAATTTGCCACAGATGTACAGATGTTTTCAGTTTTGTGACATCTATGCTTAGGCAAATAGCCTAAGAAATAACTTCCCCAATATTTCCTTCTAGATATTTTATGGTTACAGGTCTTATGTCTAGCACATGGGTGAATTAGTGGTGGGAAGTCCAGGGAGATTACAACTGAGATGACAAAATGTACAAACTGAAGAATGATGTAAAAATAAATGTATTCAAGAAAAGAAAAGAAAAAGAAATTTAGGTAAGTTGCTGAAATCAAGAAGGGACAAATTAAGAAAGAGGAAATCATGAAGTAAATGGGAATATGACTCCCCAGTATTTTACTTTCAAACTTAACTTGCACTTCATCAAAATGTATAGGTAGATAATTTCAAGATTCAAATACAATTTAAGGCCCATGATCTAGAATATCAATAGCAGTCCACGGGGCCATTCTTCTTCCAGGAATCTCCCTACCAGAGGAACCACCTTCAATTATATAGATGTTGGATCTGGCTTTTATTTCTATTGTTCCCTTTCAACTTGAAACATGCAGACTATCAGAATATGAGTGTTTAGCTCCTGACATCCTCCCCTCAACACAGCCTCCACTTAGCTAAACCAATATCAGAGATTATCTAATTTTGACTACAAAAACCTACTGCAAGGTTCTGCCCTGATTATATTTCTTTTCTAGAAATGGATCTCTGCTTAGTTTTCTAGACATCTCTTCTATTTCTAAGTACAAAAGCTTTCCAAAATAAGTCTATCAGTTTATTTTTTTCCCCACTGAACGAATCATCCCAGAGGAGCCCCCAATGGCTCTCCAGCTCTGCTGTGTAACTGTGTCCTAGGGTCAGACACAAGTCACCAGGGAACTTCAGCAACAGACCATCACTTAATGCCTACAACATTTGGTCCATCAGCTGGTGTTGGTTTACCTAGAAGGGAGGCAAAATAAACCACAGTTATTTTGCTCCCAGTCAGTGTTTATGGGACAGCTCTGTGATAATATAGGTCCCATTAATGTTCAAGTGACTTCAAATTATTTTCTGATACTGTATCTCAAAAAACAATGGTGAATGCATTGATTCCTCTCTGTTTCCCTGGGTCTACTTGTCACACTAATCAACATCAAAGGAAAGGGAGGCCGTCCACTCTCCCCAGCTGGATTCGTTATCATGTACGGCCTGCTCTGACTCCCACCATCCCCTCACTTCTTCATCTGCTTTACCCTCCACTTCAAAGGCTCAGGTGACTCACACTGACCTCAGGGGACAGGATAACAATTATGCAGTGGCTGACCGGTGATCAATGCCTACGTTTATCATGGCATTGTCATGAATATACAAGGAAATGCATTGCTTTAGTTAAAATCCTGTAACAGAGGGATGGTTGGAGAAGGACTCCATCTTCTCTCCAGTTGGGAAACCAACAGAATGATTGTTACACCACAACTAAGTAGGTGTTTATTAGTTTCACAGCATGGTCAGCTTTGCTCAGCATATCGGTCTGTTGTCTGAATATTTGCAGTTGTATAGATATCCAAGTTTTTCATCCTCTGGAAAAATAAAATTTGTTCTTGTGTGGCTTAGATTCTTTTTTCAGTAGTTCAAAAATAAATAATTTCAAGTTGAGAAGTTAAATATGTGTCAATTATGAAATGTCTGGTTGGCTTATCTTAACCTAAAGAATCACTCTCCCAACTTGAAATATAAATACATATCACAATTCTGAGCACATTAGACATTAGCATCTGTGTTGGGCAAGGATGAACATCTAGCACCAATGTCAGAGACACAATTTTTCCAAATCCCAGCCCAGGAATAAAGAGCAGTCACCTGGCACCCCCGATAGAGAACAGTGTAAGTGGCCTTCACAAACATCTTATGGAAAATTTCAGAGAAAGTGAAATCCAAAATGGCGATGATCACATCTAAGTCCTAAAGATCACATTTCTCATTTACCTGGTTGACAGTGATCACATCTTCTTCCTTGAATATTAGGCAAACATGGACACTGACCACTGACTGGGTCACAAATGGTCCTAGGATATGTCCCCAAGGAGTTACATGCACACTCTCGGCAGCCTTGGAAATTGCCAATGATCACATTGTACCTATGGGACTCACACTGATCACAGAGCGGACCTGTGAGTCGTAATTTGCAAGGACACAATCCTGTTGAGGTGTCACAAGCAGAGTCATTGATGGTTCCAGCCTTAGCACAGTTACAAGGTAGACAGAGGACAGACTTACTTTGCTGCAGGTAAAAGTATCCTTCCAAATATTCATTGCACTGTCTCCCTCCAATATTAAGGTGACGGGCGCCCTGCCCTGTCCTGGCATCACAGACACTCCCAGGGAGGGATACTGCTGCATCGCAGTCACAAGCCTTACACCTGGCGACATCTGGGCCATACAAGTGTTCTCTGCAGGTGTCATAATGAAGTCCTCTGGTTTCCTTTTTGCACTTGCACTGGCCAGAAAGAGCATTGCAGAGCTTGTCTACTGAGCCATGGAGGTTACACTGGCAGTCTTCACACCCATCATCAGGAAAACTTCGGAGAAATTTAAATCCAAAATTGCATTGATTGCATTTAAGTCCTGAAGATGAAATGTGTTCAAAAGGTAAGGAAAGGAAAAATCACTCCATTTAAGCTTTCAGATTAGCTGAAACAATTCTACTGCCCACATTTAATGCAGACAGAAAATGTCAAGTGTTTTTAAATAAGTAATGCCAAAAACACAAAAACAAACAAAAATCAATGGCAAGATCTAATGCATTTATCTACAATTTGCATTGTGCTTTATAGCATTGTATATATTTGTTGCTTACTGCCAAAAATGCTTCCTGCAAATGCTGCTGCTGCTTTCCTCTTTAAAAATATTAAAAGGTAGATGTGTTAGGAACGGAGCAGAGGAAAGTGGTGTATAATGAAGGATTACTGGGGCTTTGATGGTGGGTGGTTGTGAAATAACACACAATTGTAGAGGTGTAAACTGGAAAATTTATTGCAATGTAGATCAACATTACCTTAATAAATATAACTTCAAAAATACATTAAAAGTGTTATTTTAAAACTGATACTTAATTGTATTAAAACTATTATTTTAGCCATGTTATATTAAGAGAATGCCCATTTTAAAGCTATACAAAAAAATTCAAATTCCTATATCACTTCCCTTGAAATCAGAATGCCCTAAAAATGTTTAAGAAAATGTTACATTGGCAATATTTTTTGTGATAAGAGTATATACACTTACTCTTGAATGTCACATATTTAAATAGTTAATATAAATAAAGCTCATGCAGAACAACTATTATTTGAATGCGTGTATGTGCTCCAATGTTTTGTCATTTTCAATTAATATAAATTATGCTCTCCTTGGCTCATAAAGCAATCACATTACTTGTCATATTGTGTGATTCAGAACATGCCTCTTTAAACACTAAGTAAATTCTGCTGTATGTATTATTCCTACTTAAAGGTGCACAGATACACATTTTACACAGGAAAGTGTTTTATCACCTAAACTTAAAGCTCTGACAACTTAGGTTAATTTCAAAAAGTGTATAGCAAGGCAAAGGAATAAAGAAATTCTTTCGAACAATAACACGAGACGCAAAATACTTCCCATAGATATGCTTTCCATATCACTGAATTTAAATAGCTGATGATATGGGGTTGAAACCACTGAAAATTAATTTCAAAATATAATCGCAATAAAAAAATTAGTCAAAATTACACCCAGACACCAACAATTAGAAAAAGCATTTCCTAAACTAGAAGGAAATGCATATTCTATATGTACATATGGGTAAAGATTCAAGAACTCCAGAGGAAGGCAAGTCTTTAACAGTGATGAATGGCTCACCCAAGGCATATCATTTAATTTCAATAAGGAAAATAAAAAAAGACTACTATTGCTGCAAATTTTAAAAATAACTGTATTGTTAACAAGAATTATGACTCATTTTGAACTATTAAAATTGGTCTACATGGATTCATATCATATCAGTTTTAAAAATATGCGCAGTGCTTATTTGAATATGCCATACATATTCCTGACAGGTAATCTATTCCTGACGCTACTCGGGAAGGCCTACAGGGCATCACATTCGGTGTTAACAAGTACAGGCGAGTTAGCACACTTGGCATTTAATTCACATTCTTCCCCCTTTTTATTCTAGATGAATGACCTACTTTAATAAAATTATTGGTGCTAATGTATTTTACTGGTGATAGAATCATTAGTAAGATTTAGCAGTTTTGTTAACTCTACCAGTCTGCTTTCTGAAGCATATACAACATATACTTATATTTTCTGTTTTTTTAAATCATATTAAAACAAAATTGAATAAGGTTACTTGCTAATCCCATTAGGAAAAGAAAATATATATATATATATATATATATATATATATATATATATATATATACACTACTTTTTTTATTAAAAACATTGGATCTATGGAAATAACTCTAGAAATAATATCACAATGATGACCTCCTCTTCAAATAGAGAGATCTTTATAATTTCCAGCAGGATACTAGCTGGTTCAACCAATAAAAGATACATGGCATGGAGGTCATAACAAATTCTAAGTAAAGGGAAAATTTGAATTTTTGTCCCTTCTTTAAGCTCTGGGCAAAGAAGATTCCATTGATACAGACAAGAAGCATTTAATTTTCTATGAAGCTCTTTCTTTAAATGTGTTTGTATATTTTGAATTTAAAATGTATCTCACATGAAAGAACAATGATGTTATATGGTGGAATTCAAAAGTCTTAGGCTTCATTCAGCATCACAGGTAACACTTGCCCATAGATGTGCTTCTTTTTTTTCAAGGGAGTTTTACTATTTTTTTTTTTTCTGAAAAGTGAGTTTTGGCATGTCTGAAATGCGTAAGGGTTAGGGGGATGGTTAACACTTTGATGTGCTCCTTTTTTAAAGCCAGAGAAATCTGGTTAATTCCAATCACGTAATTTTTATTAAATTAAAATGAATCGCTTGTCTGGCAGAATTGTATAAAATGATGTAGGTGGATCTACTCAGACAAAAGATAAAGAATTAACTCTGAGTTGCATCACAGCAGTAAGGGGGCAGTGGTGGGGACTGGCCAGCCGGCCACTTGCAGGTGCACACACAGGTGTGTGTGGACTAGCAGAAGTCCCTGCCGGGCAGGTTCCTATTACAAGGTGGAGGTCAGTGTTAGAAAAACCTTGGAAGTCTGGGAGGCTCGAATGACAATAGAAAGGCGAAGGTCTTTTTTAAACTTCGTACAAAAACCAAGACACGCTCAGCTACAATAGGAGACTCACTTCATCAGCAAACTTTCCTCTCATAATATTCTCATATATCAAAATTTCAAGTGCATTATGTACATAGTGCATTTGGGCACTTGATAAATTTTGTCCTTATGTGGCTGTGGTTCCCCTCAAAAGTGTTGGATGTAATAAATTGCTATAATCAAATCTAATTTCTGAAAAATACCTGTGGGAGTAACAAACAAAAAAAGCACGTCTTGTATAAAAAAATGATAAATAACAGCGAAGGTAGCTGTTTATTATAATCAGCTTGGTATTGAATTACAAAATTAAAATTATGTGGCCCTTTATAACTAACCTAGCAATATACATGATCTGTGGGATTGTGCTGACTTATTTTGCATTTCATAGGAATAGTTCAAAGAAATATAATAGAAAAAAAATGTAAAGATTTATCACAAAGGACCTGGTAGCACAGAATATTTTGAAAAATTCCATTTATTTTGGTCTATTAAGAAAGCTAGCATTGAAATGATTTGCTTAGAACTCATTAAGTATAAACCATTTTGAAAAAATGTTAATTTTCTAAAAGAAACATCTATGAAGTAAGCAAATTATATTTTTCTATGACTTATTAGTAAGGGACCAAGTGAACTAAGGCATCTACAGAATATACATATATATAAAAAAAAAACTTCTAAAGGGTTGATTAAACTGAGCTTCAAGCTGTAGTTTGATGGAATTAATTTAATCATTTTTAGACAGTTAATTTCATCCAATTTTTTTTTTGCTTGCCAGCCTTGAGAAAGGAATTTTGCTTTATTCTTCAGTTAAGAAATCAAACAGAGAATTTTATTCTAGATGGTAACAGAGATGTGACTGTAAACTTCTGCATTACACATACCAATAACATTGACTTTGCACTTGCACTGGCCTGAATTTGGGTGACAGGTTATAGCTCCTTCCACCATCTCAGAAGTATTACAATCACAGGACTTGCAGCCCTCAGGATCCAGCCTTTGTGGATTGTAGAATCCATTCTGGCACTGATTGCAATGTCTGCCAGACACATGTCTCTTACAATTACACTGGTCTCCAACCTAGAGAAGATACAACATTTTGTAGAATGATGAACATATCTATTTTTAGATAATTTGCTCATTAGGTACATGACAGGAAGAGAGGGAGAAAAAAACTTTTAATGTTAAACAGACAAGAAGGTAATGGGGTATTTTCCTTTAGACACAAAAAACATAGGATGTTGCAGCAGGGTGAATATATAGAACAGAATGAAAATAAGCCCCACAGATGTCAGGAGTGGATGCCTGAAAGGGAAAGGTGGAATTAGGCATTGAGCACCATATAAAGAAATCAAAATACAGTGATGGGGAAGCTGAAAATAGAAAATAGTCAGGAGTTAAGTTAGTCTTTACTTCACCTCTCTGCTTTGTCCATCCCTCTCATGGACTATCTTGCTGACCCAAACTTATTTTATAGGTGCCTGGTGCTTTCATTAAATATCTTTTGCTAATGTAATCCTCCTATACAGGTTTTAAGAATGTTTACAATGAAGTTTTTTGCCGATGTGCTTTTTTCCCCATACTCCTCTCCTCTAGAACTATTTCAGCATATCAATGATTAATTGATTGCATTATTTCACTACATTCAGCATATTTAGCTGATTTGTACTGTGTGGTAAAAATGCCAAAAAAAAAAGTTACTTGTTTTAAAGTCCTAGGAAGCAAAATAGTTGAAAAGTCTGTAATTTTCCTTTTCACATTGTTTGAGATGAAAATACATAAGATATGGAATATTCATCAACTCTGTATGCAGAAAATGCAATATTGGTTTTAAAAAAGCTTATTAAGAGTTAACAACATTCATAATACAACATATGCACATAAGTATGAATGTACATCTGAGAAATTTAGTAAAGACGTAGACTGACATCAAATCTCTTACGAGAGCATTGATATTTCTCCCCAAATATCCTTCCACTGGGGCTCAAGCCCACTCTTCATGCTACTAAGCAGGGTTTTCACATAGGCAAGGGACCTACTTGTGGAAAGACATGGGTGGATTTACCTTTGACCCTAGGGATATTGAAAATATCACAGGAGGTTGGGATTCAGTTACAAAGATGGAAAAAAAGTATTTTTAAAGAATTTTTTAAAAATCCACCACAATCTCATTTTTCCTCATCTGAAAAACAGAGAATCAGTGGAATCAGTGTGTAAGGATAAAATAATTGATATGAAAATATCCCCATACTATGAAAAGTAAGGTGCATAAAGATACCAAATGTTGTGGTTTCTAAGGGATGTCAGTAGCGAAGACACAGGTGCAAATTTGCTGTTTCCTGCCCCCCTCACACCCAGATCTGGAAACAATTCCTGAATATAGGAATGTATGTCTGTCTGACCTGCAAAAATAAAAGGCATCCATTGATGCACATGTGCATGCACACTCAAGAGATCTAACCAGTGCCTGCACTGTGACACTTAAAATGCATCATCCTGTAATGATCCCCCCTTTTTACTGTCGCTTCACATGGATTTGTCTTGTTCTCCAGACAGACAGCAAGTGCCTTGAGGGAATACCCATACATTTCTGCCAAACATACTTCCTACAAGAAAAGAGTACTCCTTCAAAGATCAAGAAAAACAAAGAGTAAATATGGTAAAGGGAAGTAAAAATATATTCTGTACAAAAAGTTTATCTCCTATAGTTTGCTATATTCTTATTTAAATCTGATACAACAGTTAGAGCATCCCAGGGTCCTGAAGACTACAAAAGCTGCTTATTAGGCAAATTCTCCTTTTTTGAAGGATCAAGTGCTTTTAAATTCCCTACAAGACTACAGGTTGAATATTCTGTCACCCTGACCCTGAATATCTGCTTCTTCCATCCTGGAATCTTCTTGCCACCTGAGAGCCCTCTGATCCTAGAGGTGAAATTCAGCCATGAGTCAATTTTAAGAAGAGCAGATTTATTGGAGGGGGTTAAAAAAATAATAATAATGTACAACATTTTCTAAAGATTTTGGGAAAAGAAGTACGAGTTTTGCAATTTCTATCTCCTTAGCTTCCCAGAGATTTTCAAAGGCTTCTTCCCAATTAGCACCCATAGGCCTTGATTTATGACCCAGAACTTAATCTATTCTGGTGTTCTGTGTAGACAAGGAAAACATTTACATCCTACTGTTTTTTACTATAAATGTCAATCAGGTCATGTCTGTTGATGGTGTTGCTCTAATTTTAATACTTAGTGGTTTTCTGTCAGGTTTCAATTAATTATTGAGAGAGGTATTGGGATTTCCACCTATCATTGTGGATTTGTGTATTGCTCCTGCCAGTTCTCTCAGTGACTGACTTGTGTATTTTAAATCTCTGTTGTTTGGTATATAAATGTTAGGAATCATTATAACCTGTCAACAATTATAATCTTTACAATGCAACTTTCTTATTCTGGGTAGTACCATTGTCTAAGATCTATAGTATTCTTTGATGTTTATAAATTAGGTCACTCAGCCTTCTTAGAATTAGTGTGCATGTTCTCTACCTGGCCTCTTTTCCTGGAACACAGTAGAGGGGACCACCACCTCAGGGTGCTGCTCACCCTCTTCTTTCTGCTTTGGTTCCTTCCTACAGATTTCTACACAGCTCTTACTAAATTAGATGAGCACAGTTAATATTTATCAGAGGTTTCATATGTAATAGACACTATAGTTTTAAAGCAATGCTTTTTAAACAGCAGAAATATGTCTTCCTAAGCACTCCTTTGGCTGGAAGTAGAGAAAACCTAATGTTCTATAGATTATATCTTCTCTCAGAATCTCACTAAAAGCCAGTGAGGTAATGTTGATGCTGCCAAACAAAGTAAGAATTTAAAAAGCAAATTCAAAAGTTTAAGAACAGGAAGTCTGCCCTGAAATTAAATTGGATTTGGAGTGTTTCATTTGATCTGAAAATACAAATGAGGACAAAAAAGAAATCTTTTAATCAATGAATATATTCTTAAGAATCTGCTTTCCTTTTACAGAGACTAAAGGTTGCTCAGTTATAGGAATTCTTTAGCTCCCATTCTTTCCTTTTGAGGAACACATCCATTCACAATGTCACTCAACCAATGTTTGGTCACCTACAACATGCCCTATGGGTTTTGTAAGATCATATTACCTTCCAACACCTTTCCATGCCTACCACTTTTTCTTCCAGCATTGTTGTCATTACTGAACAGTTGGACCTGGAATAATTTCTGAGTCCCTTCTCTCTCCTAGTCTATTTATTAAATTATCAAATTAATTTTCATCCTCTTAGTCTGACAATGATACTCCTAGGGTATTTTTGAAGGGGAGGTGAAGAAACTGAAACTTTGAGTGTGTAGAAAATAGGAGGATATACTTCAGTAAATATATATATATATATATATAATTTTTTTTATTATCAACAAAGTGCTAGCAATTCTAAACATTTCAGTTTGTACTATCACTTCTTCCTAATGGGATGAAATGTTCTCATTTCTGACTTGGTATGCCATGTACCACCCTTGTACTCAAAGATATTAAAGATATTCAACAGCTCCCTATCATTTACAAAAAGAAAACTACAAATCCTATGACATGGCTATGAGGTTCTATTGGTATTGAACCTCAATGATCACTACAGAGTTTCATTAAGAAGGGCTCAATGGGCCCTGCCTGGTGGCGCAGCGGGTTAAAGCACAGCACTAAGAAGCTTAAGCCACTTCCACATGAGTTCGATTCCCACCTGCCCCGGAGGAGATCCACATGGCGCGGCAGACCTCTCCTGACCCACCCACTGCTCCCCTCAGCAGTGTACTTTGATCATCTGCCTGTTCTGCTCCCCACTCTGTCTCTGGTGAATCCTCTCACCCTCCGCATCTCTAGCCTGTATTCCAGTTCTGTATGGATAAATAAATAAATCTTTAAAAAAAAAAAAAAAGGCTCAACTACAATAACCCAAAGTGTTGTTCAGTTATTTCTTTTTTAGGCATGTTTGCACAGCAAGCATACAATGCATACAATTTTGCTTAGATTATAAACCAGCTCAGAATGACTTTGTGGAGAACAACAGTGGAAAAGGAGAGTGATCAGATGGGATGAGGGACTTGATATATGTGGAGAAATAGCTTCATTTTTACTGCTCATTTGGTATCTATCATATTTTCTGTAAATAACAAATTTGCTTTTTCTTACTACTTATGTTGTTTTTCCTATTTTGCACTATATTTAACCTGAATTTCTTTTTGTGAAGTTATAAGAACAAACTTGTTTTGTTCAGGATATAGGGACAAAATGTTTAATATATATCATTATGATATTTGTTGAAGGTTCTCTGCAGATGTTATTTTCTGATTGAGGAAATTCTGTATTTCTAGTTGCATAGACTATTTACTATGAAATAATTCTGACTGCTTTCAAAAAATTTTAATGTCTATTTAGATTATGAGAGCTACGAAGCTTGTTGCATTAATTGAATTTCAAAGGCTAAACCAACCTTGCATTCTTGGGATAACTGCTGGTCATATGCACTAACTTTAATAAACACTGAATATTCAATGTGCTGATACATTAAGATATTTTAAATCTATATTCATATGGAGTATTCAAAGAAACTTGTTCAGAAAACTAGCCGAGAAGCTCACATTTCTCTTTGCTTTTTTAAAGATGTTTATGCAGAACTGATACGTTGTATTCCTTTTTGTTACAGGAAAATCACCAGTGAATATATCTTTGTTCAAAAGAAATCTGAGCAGTGAAAAGTATGAATTTGAATTTTATGAGTTAAAGAAATCACAATTTATAGAACTTTGGTACAGTAAGTGATAACTCAAATACGTTCTTGCAAGATACTATAAATCCCCCCATTCAAATGAAAACAGGCAGATACTCATTTTTTAAAAATATTTCTCAATCGGCCCTCCCTGGTGGCGCAGCGGGTTAAAGCACAGCACTGAAAATCTAAAGCCGCTTCCGCATGAGTTCGATTCCCGCCTGCCCCGGAGGTGACCACATGGCGTGGCAGACCTCTCCTGACCCGCCCGCTGCTCCCCTCAGCAGTGTACTTCGTAGATCTGC